CTAAAATATCAATTTCTCTTTTTATCTCCTCACCCCTGGCCAATTCTTAAATAATCCATATTATGGGCCACACCCTGTTCTAAGTACCTTGTACCTATTAATGCATTTAATCTTCAAAATGACTTTATGAGATAGGTACTATTATTATCCACATTTTGTGTATAAGGAAATGGAGATTAAGCAAATCTCCCACAGGGCATAGGCAGGGGAGTCAGGGTTCAAATCTGGACTGCCCAGCTCTGTCATCTGAGCCTGCTCTGCAGTCGGGTTAGCCTTCTCCAGCGGGCTTTGTACAGGGCCTGAGACCTACCCTCTAGGAAGTACAGTAGTTCCAGATCATCTTTGACTCTTCTGGAATTCTCACTGGCGGGGAAGGGGCAAGCTCAGGAGAAAGAAGGGTAGTACAGAAACAAAGGAGAACAGAAAAAGAAGAGCTCTCAGGACTCCAAAGACAGATTTTCCTTTACACTTTTAGACGAGCAATGTTTTCTCAGGTTTCGGTGACATTGGTATTTATCAGATAGGCTATACTGAGATAACTAATATATCTAGTGACTTAGCACAAGTTTACTTCTCCTTAGTGCAAAGTTTAATGAGTGTTCATGGGGACTGACCTCTACCCTGTAACTCAGGGATCCAGAATCTTTCATCTTGTGATGGAGCCATGTCAGCAGGTGGTTTCCAAGGTCTTCTATGGTGGGGAATGGGAGGGATGGAGAAAGTCTAACAGCTTTTAACTTTTCTGGACAGGAAGTAAAATAACTTCCCGTCACTCCACAGGCCATCGGCTAGACTCGGTCATACGGTCCCAGCTTTGTGGAAGGGAGGCTAAGAAATGCAGAGGAACTCATGGAATACTCATGGCATAATTGTCTGTGCCACAGTGAACAAATGGGTTGAGTTGATGTACATTTAGTAAGTGAAATGAACCTGACCTGATCAATTTCTCAGACTCTCATCAACTCCTTAAGACAATCCTAGGGATCAGGATTCATTTGACTAAGTTGAATACTCCCTACTTTTTGTTTAAGCACAGATTCTTTACACTGAGTACAGTTACGTTTTTTCCATAGACCACATGGACATGAAACGTATGTGCGAGAGAAGGAGATGACTTAGCCAGAGGAAGCCCAGCTCTTCATGGCCTGGGGCATTGTGCTTAATGACTAGACAGTCTTCTAATTGGGAGCTATAATTATGAATGCTGCTAGTGTTTTATTTGTTTTAAATTTCAAGTCTGTAGTAAAATTCTGGTTGTGCCTTGCTATTTTGCAGACAGCAAACATGTTCTACATTGTGATCCTGATGGCCATAGTCCTGCTGAGCTTTGGAGTGGCACGCAAGGCCATCCTTTCACCAGAGCAGCTTCCATCTTGGAGCCTTGCTCGAGACATTGTATTTGAGCCATACTGGATGATTTATGGAGAAGTCTATGCTTCAGATATAGATGGTGTGTAGGAGATTTTGCCATCATGCCGAAATCAAACCTTTGTAGATACTCAGAGTACAAAAACAAAAAAACGTGGAAAATATTCATCTAGATTGTACAGATGTCAAAAATTTGTGGTATTCTGCTAAGTTAATGTGCTAAATATTTGTGTAGAGCCACAGGACTGTGATTCACTGTATCTCTTATTCTTTTAAATTCTTTATTTGTAGTTTGTGCAAGCCATCCGTCTTGCCCTCCTGGTTCTTTTCTTACTCCGTTCCTCCAAGCTGTCTACCTCTTCGTGCAGTATATCATCATGGTGAACCTGTTGATTGCTTTTTTCAAGTAGGTTATTTTAATTAAGTGTGGTTATTTTATTTAAATTAAAATAAAAATTACATCAAGATGATTTCATTTAAATCAAAATCTATTTTGAGTAGATTCTCATATTTTGAGTATGTAACCTTTGGTTTTTGTGTGTTCCATTTTTTTTTTTTTTCCCTTTTTCACTGTAGTTTTAGCATGTGGACATGAAACTGCTGGTAGGAAGGGAGCAGAGCATGAGAAAAGAGGAAAAACAATAAATGGAGAGAAAGTAATACAAGCAGAATGAAAGGAGATCATGCCTTGGAGTAAAGCAATAAGTTGGAATCATGAAGGAATGACAGTTGCTGAGATTAAAAGCTGGCTGAGGGGTTCTTGATGGCTTTTCTTTTCTTGGCTCCAGTGTATCTTATTCTCTGTTTTCTTCTATCTGACTTTTCATTTCTTCTCAGTCTGCTTTTCTGGATCATCTCCTTCTCCTCAATCTTGTAACACTGGAACATCCCCTGGGCCCAGACCTTGCTCATCTCTTATTTACATTTTGTTTGGTGATCTTGGTCAGTTTGCTGTAATGCTGACAAATTCCAATTTATATCTCCAGCCCAAATCTCTTCCTCAAACTCCGGTCTCACAGATCCAACTGCCCCTTTCACCACCAGTTGGATGTATAATAGAATTCTACAATTCTAAATGTCCGAAATCTTGATCTCCTCTGTTTCCCAGCATATACTTATTCTACTTGTCATCTTTCCCAAATCTATGGAGGAGACCACAAGTTTCTGTCAGGTCTCCATTTCTCCAGGTGTTGAGATCAAAAGCCTTGGAGTCATTCTTAATGCCACTTCTATCTCTCCCTCTAAACTGTCGGGAATGCCTGTTGACTCTGCCTTCAAACATCATCAATCCAACCACCCCTTACCACCCCACTGCTACCAGAGAGCCTCTTACGTATTTCTCTGCTTCTGTCTTGGGCCCCTATATTCTGTTATCAACACAGTAGCCCCTAGTGATCCTATAAAAGCATATGTCAGATGATGTCACTACTCTGCTCCAAACCCTCAGTGGTTTCCCATTTCAAAGTTCCCATGATGACCTAGAGAGCCTCAGTGACTTGGCTTCCCTGCTGCTTTTCCAGTCACGCATCACACAAATCTTCCCCTAACCCTCTCCTCTCCAATCACACTGGCCCCTCGGAGGTTTTCAACCAGCACAGGTGTGTTTGCAGATGCTGTTCCCTCTGCCTGCAGTGCTCTTCCCTCAGGCATCCGTGTGGCCCCTTTTCTCACCCCCTTCGAGTCTTTGCTCACATGTTCCCTTCGTCATTGGGCCTAACCTAAGGATGACATTGGAAAGTGCAGCCCCCTTTCCTTCAGCCGTCTCTGTGGCATGCCTGGTCCCCCTTACCCTTCTTTCTTCATTTTTTTTTCCTGTTTATTTGTCTCCTCTACTGGAATATAAGTGCCACAAGAACAAGATATTTTATTGTCTTTTGCCGATGAATTTTTCCCAAGTACCAGAAAGAGTGTATAAACATAGTTGCTTAATGGACGAAAAAAATCCGGTGAAGAGATGGGAAGAAACTAGTATTTTTTTGAATGCCTCCTTGATGCCAGGCAGTGTGCTAGGTATTTTATTCATTGATTATTCCACTGAAGAGGGCAAGATAAGAGAAGAGATATCAATGCAATGGAATCTAAGTAAAAAATAAATAAAAAAAAAATAGAGAAGCTAAAGGCTGGAGAGAAACAAATCAGAACACTTAAGAAAAAAAAGACTATTGTTATAAATATATGGGGAAGATATACCTTCCTGCTTGTTACAAGATCATAGAATAACTGTCATCTCTTTTAACCCTACCGTTTTATAAACTTCTAACATTTACTGGTGTTTAGTTAATATAGTTTTTTGGGGTTTTTTTGTTTTTTTTTTGACATTTCAAATAACATTCAGAGGGGGTATGAGATTTTTGTTTCTCAGACATGACAGGTGTCAAAGGAGAGGTTGAGAAACCCCACATAGACCAGTTGTCTCACTCTAGAGAGCAACACAGTGAGCACCAAACAAGCTGAGAAACCCCAGATCTGACTACTTGTCCAGGGGCGGCCCATTCCAGATTCTTTGTAGCAATAATTACAAAACCCCTAAAATACACTGTGAAGATCGCCACCTGCTGGTGAGCAAGCTGTAGTCACACTCGGAGTGACAGAGTAGTGTTTAATGGTGGTGGTTCTCCAACTTGATGTACAGGAGAATCACCTGGAGGGCTTGCTGTGACATTGCTATAATGTCTCTTTTAGAGTTTCTGATTTGGTAGTTCCGGGCTAGGGCCTGAGAATTTACATTTTTGACGTGTCCTAAGGTGATGCTAATTCTGTGGTTGCGACCACACTTTGAGAACTACTGTTAAAACCCAGTTTTCTGCCTTCCCATCATCTACTTTATAGATTCGGTGAAACTTCTCCCTTCCTCTTATTCTAGGCTGGCTTTCTCCAGGATAGTTCCATTTTCATCTCTTTATCACTGCTCAAGCTTAGGGCTGCCTGCATTTTTATTGGCTAATTTTGGCTGTCCTCCTCAAATACTACTTTGCCATCTTTCTCTAAACAAAATAAACATTAGCCTAAGCAGAATGTTAGGATAGACATCCCATTGTGTCCCCTCGCTACCCCCATCATGTTATAGACTTAAAGTTACGTAGTTAGGGATGACTTAGAATAACTGCACCACCCACCACAACTTCCATTGCTAGTTCTGTGGTATCAGTGTTTACCATTCTATCTGCATATTAAAATTGATGTCTTTAAAGCAATAATCCAAGGTGGTCTGCCAGTAAGGGGTGATTTTCATTGTAAAGTTAACGTAAATAATTTTTATCTAGTTTCTAAATAGCTCTGCTTATTGATTATTTTAGGATGAACTGATTTTTCTTCCCTGTCTCTTCTTCATTAATGTTCTTTCATTTGAGTGTTTTAACTAGGATTATTCTGTCAGTTCTCACATTTGACATTAGGAGAACCTCTCCTAATTGGTTGATGGTATAGAGAAATGTTAACGGTATTTACCATGAATGGTAAATTATGGGCTGAAAAGAGCTGCTTATGTGAGAAGAGGTGGTGAACCAAGAATAGTGATAAGTTCCAGAGGGCAGTTTTATGTTCATTGCATTTAAAACATTAGCATTTTCTCTCTGATTGTAATTTCTATCTTTTTATTATTCTGATTAGCATCTTTGATTGTAGAAGGTGATTAATGTATCTTGTTTGGGTAGAAGAAGAATCACAAATACAACGGCTATTATTTTTGTTGACTGAGTGCTGGGAATGTCAGGCGAACCAATCATAAAAGTTGGAAAATAGAGAAAGAATCTGTTATGTTTTAGGATGCTGTATTAAAACATTATCCCTCTCTTCACTACAACTTACAGTAACGTTTATGTAGATATGAAATCCATTTCCCATAAACTGTGGAAATATAATCGCTATCGTTACATCATGACCTACCACAAGAAGCCTTGGCTGCCCCCACCTTTCATCCTGCTGAGCCACGTTGGTCTCCTCCTTCGCCGCCTTTGCTATCATCAAGCTCCAAATGACCAAGAAGAGGGTGATGTTGGATTAAGTAAGTTTTCATTTATGGGGGCATTAGGAAGAGAGTAAAGAGTAGAGATCCAAGGTGAAAATACGCAGTTAAATTCAGGGCACAGGATGGAAATCTCTGGGAGTTCGCTCACAATAGCATATCAGCTGAGGCCCTGGGTCTAAGGAAATACATTGATCTCATCACGTGGTTGTAGTACCTTTGCAGGAGGTTAACCAATACTTTGAAAGAAAGGAAGGGGTAAGAACAGAATCTCTGCTTGAATGGCTAAAGGCTCTATGTCACCTGGAAAACCTGTGTTTCCTCTTTTCACCTGGGAAGTCATCAGAATAACTCCTAGGGAGTCACAGTGACCCATGTTCATTTCCCTGTTGTCGAAGATGGAATCCAAACAGAAAGGAGTCACAGGAGGTCTTGTGGACTGAGGGAAACTGATAGGACAGACTTGGCTTCACTTATTAACCAGAGTCCTGATTCTCTGCTTCCTAATCTACTGAGGATGGAGGTGATTCTGTATGGTTGTTTCATGTTTTCAATACAAGATGCAGAAATGTGGATTCTCATTTTTCCTTTCTTCTTCTTCTTTTTTTTTTTTTGCAATGCTTAAATCTGCATATTTTGAGATTCTCCTAGTTCATTTTGCTTATCCATATCTTCACAGCACAATATGACTCTCATGCTAATTGTTATAATAGAACATTTCTTACTGTGGTTTCACAGATCTATTGTAGTTCCTCTCAAGCAATTTCACTATTGGTACCAGGCCCATTTCTAGATAATTCCTACATATAGAGGAAATGGTGGCATAAATCCACAATCCTTATCTCAATTCCTACATCCAAAGTACCCCTGAAAGCAGAAAGCTTTTTTCTTCTTAAGTTAGAGACTCATTTGGACAAAAAAAGGCTGATGGGACTAATGTGAAGCCATTCATTCTCTTTATCCCTTGTAGCATGAATATTCATTGATTTTGCTTCAAAAATAATGATGTGTTGGAATTTAGGGTACTGCCCTAGCCTCAGTTAGGGATTTTACTTCATTTATGGTGTATGCACTATATTACCTTTCTAAAAGGAGACAAGGAAAATTCTTAATTCTAAAACACACTCAGTTCTGGGAGTTTCAGATAAGGGATTGTGCACTGTTTATACATTTCACGGGGCCCTTAGGGGGACAGGTGTTATTACAAGGTTGATAGGTTGATATGCTTTTGTTCCTGCTGGTAATTGGCTAAGTGAAGTATTTTTCTCTTCTTGAGTCACTTTGGAGATTTACTTTTCTTTTCCCCCCTCCCCCCCCCCCCCCCCGCAAAGATTCAGGCTGGATGAGGAAGCGAAAGTACAATTGAAGTTAATTTTTTAAAAAGATTTATTTATTTATTTTAGGGACTTGGGGGAGGGGGAGCAAAGGGAGAGAAAATCTGAAGGAGACTGTGCTGAGTGTGGAGCCCAATGCGGAGCTTGATTCCGTGACCCTGAGATCATGACGTGAGCTGAAATCAAGAGTTGGCCGTTTAACTAATTGAGCCACCCAGGCACCACACAACTGAAGTTATTTCAGAAGCTTATAAAATTTCACTATAATTTTTAGGCTTCTAATAGCCATCCCGGGCATTGGCTGTGGAACTATTGCAAGCTAATAGAGTGTAAGCCAGCCGAGAGATCCTGGAATTGGCTGGGATTTGGCCAGATTTCAGCTTCACCTTCATCTGGGCTTATAGGATGATTCTGGTATATAACTCAAGTAAATTTCTGATGGATAGAGGTGTGTTCACCCTGAGTTCTGGAAAATTCTTGAATTTTTGTGAAACTTCTTCCAGTCGTCTAGCGAAGATTGACGTTTGCATGTGGGGCATCAGTGCCACCTGGTGGAGAGTCACAAGAATGCTCCACAGATGCAAGCCACACCTGTCACTGGAATTGGTCTTTGGGTTGTTAGCTTTCAGGAATCCACAGAAGGATCAAATCATGGTAACTGCAAAGTTTCTCAGGCATAAGAGATTTTTTTGTTTTTTAAGATTTTATTTACTTATTTGATAGAGACACAGCAAGAGAGGGAACACAAGGAGGGGGAGTGGGAGAGGGAGAAGCAGGCTTCCCGCCAAGCAGGGAGCTCGATGTGGGGCTCGATCCCAGGACCCTGGATCATGACCTGTGCCGAAGGCAGATGTTTAACGACTGAGCCACCCAGGCGCCCCAAGCATAAGAGATTCTTTAATGCAAACAGGCATTTAGAGCTTAGGGGTGGTGGTTACTGGATTTTTTCAGTATCTGAGTAATTCTTCCACACCATAAAATCAGAAAACACTTATGCACTTGAGTTGTGGACGTATTTTTATGGCTGAATATTGTTTTCTCTTTGCTCTGTTTTTCAATTTTAAAATTAGTATTTTTGTCTCATTTTATTGGAAAATAATGAAACGTTTGGATTTCTAGTACGTTTGAGGGAACATTATGGGTTTTTTTTCCTGATTTAAGTGAAACCACTGAAGGAAGAGAATGCTCCATTTTTTTTTTTTTTTTGCAGCACCATGTATGTATTTTTCAAGTATTAGAAACTTGCTCATAAGCTAATATATTTTTCTGTTAGATCAGAATGAGGGCCAAGGTAATGGGCAGAATGTGATCACTGAAGGCTGACATTGAATTGTATTAGCTTCATAATATCATGAAACAATGTGTCTTTTTGTGAGTTAATAATAATCATGTCAAGGAAAGTGGACAGCCTCAGCCATTGGCTGGTAATAATGCCTCTGTTTCCAATAGAGTAACTTATGCAGTTGACCCTTGAGCAACATGGGGGTTAGGGGTGCCAACCCCTTGCACAGCCAAAAATCAGTGTATAACTTTTGACTCCCCTCAAACCTAACTACTAATAAGCCTTACTGATAACATAGTCAATTAACACATATTTTGGATATTGTATGTGTTGTATACTGAGGATTACAACAAAGTGAGAAAAGAAAAGGTTATTAAGAAAATCATAAGGGGGAAAAAATACATTTACAGCACTGTGCTGTATTTACTGGGGGGGGGGGAGAAAAACCCATAACATATATAAGTGGACCCGCACAGTTCAAACCCATGTTGTTCAAGGGTCAACTGTATCTACAAACTCAGTGTAACAAGGTGAAACTTTCTTACACTTGCTGGATTAATTTAACAGATTTAGACTTCATCTAACCTTGATTTTAACCTACAGGTTACTTATTGTCATTTTGATAGACCAAACAGCGGGGGGGAAAAAAGACAATCAGATTCTTTCCCCATATGCATATAAACATAGTGAAGTTTTGTTAATGTATAGAAACAGTCTAACCTATGAGCACATTGGACAGAAAATGTCTATTCCACAGGAGTCATCTTCAAATTTAAAATTAATATTTTTGTCTCATCTTATTGACAAATAATGCTCTTTTAAAATGTACCATACTTATTTACACAGAACTCTACCTGAGTGAGGAGGATCTGAAAAGACTTCATGATTTCGAAGAGCAGTGTGTGGAAATATACTTCCACGAGAAGATGGAAAGTCTGAATTATAGCTGTGAGGAACGAATCCGAGTGACATCAGAGAGGTACGAGATAGATAGATAGAGAGATAGAGAGATAGATAGATATTTTTTTTTTCCCACCTCCCCAAAGGTGGTTCTACTAGAATGTCTGAAGAAGTAAAAAGATGGACTTTCAGAACCCCGAGGTTTGGTTTCTCTCCAGTTCTGTCTAGTAGCATATAGTATTTCTGTAACGGATGTATATTTATTGAGCACCTACTACATTCCAGGTGTCCCTCTCGTCCCTGGAGATAAATGGTGAATAAGAGATGAGAGTCCCTGCCTTCGTAGGACTCGTGTTCTAGTGTGTGCAGGTAGAGGGGTGAGGGGGGTAGAGGACAAATAATAAGTAGGGAGACACATAAAAAGATGTAATTTAATGTCCGTTAAAGAGTGATGAAAAATCAAGTTGCATAAGGGAATCGAAAACGATGGTGGTGAGGGGTCTGACAGAGTGTGGGGGGAGGTTGGGTTGGACTCTTTGGGGTAGCCTGGGGCAGGAAGGCCATTGAGGAGTTGGAGGAGGAGGGGCCTGAGGGAGGCGGGCCAGGCAGAGACATCCTGTGGGATGGTGCCCCCTGGCTGTAGGAATAGCCAGTGCAGCTGCCTGAGGCCGCAAGGTGCGTCCCGGATGGCAGGTAGGACTGGAGAAGGCCAAGTGCTGCGTGCTCGTTGCACTGGGGAGACGGGGCACAGGTGAGGTTCTCTTGTTTTGTTTTCATGCGGGGATAACAGAAGAAATGTGTATGGTCTTGGACATGATTACACCAGCCAGGGAGGAACTGCAGGAGCAGGAAGGAGGTGGTGATTTGCCCCACGAGAGGGCTCAATGCCTGGGCTTCCCTCCCAGTCGCGGGACCAGGAGAGAGGGTGGCCAGTGCTCAGGAGGCTGCAGCTCGGGTGTGGGCACACAGTCCTTGAGGCCAAGGCATCATCAGACCAGTGCCTGTGGGTATGTGTGATTTTGGTGGGGAGGGTCAGTGCAGGGAGGCCGTTCAGAGGTGTGAGGAAAGAGATGTGTTGGAGAGAGTGAACATATTCAGAAACTGTGGTAGGATCAAAGCCACTGTGGCTCCACCGATAATTGTGGATACATGGCATTGTGTTGGAATATGGAAGACTGAGTGTGATTATATGCATTAAAAAAATTTTTTTTGTTTTAATTTTTATTTTTTTTAAAGATTTTATTTATTTATTTGACAGAGAGAGACACAGAGCAGGAACACAAGCAGGGGGAGTGGGAGAGGGAGAAGCAGGCTTCCCATGGAGCAGGGAGTCTGATGTGGGGCTCAATCCCAGCACCCCGGGATCATGAGTCGAAGGCAGATGCTTAATGACTGAGCCACCCAGGTGCCTCATATGCATTTTTTTTTTTAAACACAGAATTGTTTTTGTAACCAGAAGCAAATCGACAGAACTTAAATGCGTTCCTTCATTTTCGAATATACAGGGACCTGACTGTAAAATGTTATACCTCATTATGCGTGTATTTTTTTCTGACATCCAAATGGATAGGCAGTGGATCCTTAAATATGGCTTTATTTAAAATTGAATTACATGAAGAACTCTCTAAATGGTTTGCTGTGGGTATATGTCATATTTCTGGACTTTTCAAGTGGTATCATATTACGTAAATATGTATTTAGGTGGCCGACTGAATTTCAGACCAAATTTTATATTGAGAAAAAATATCAAATAAAGGTTTGTGAGCACACAAATTTTATTTTCCTCAAATAATATCTTTAGGCCAGAGCTTGATGAGCTTCTCTTCCCTTTTTCCTCTTCTGTACATTCTGCCACCTTTATAGATGCGCTCACTGAGTCTTGTGGGCCAGCCTGGCTCTCTGTTTTCTAGGACACACATGCCCAGATAGGATTTATAGAACCAGGGTGAAGACCTGCTTCTCCACTTACTGGCTCTATGCACTTGGGCGAATTGGCTCCGGGCCTTTGTTTTCTTATTTGTAAGATGCACACAAAAATAGACCTACCTCTTAGAGGTGCTGTGAGGACTACATGAGGTAACATAGATGAACCACATGGCAGAGTGCTGATCGATAGTAAGGGTACAGTGAAAGTAAAAATAGGCTCCAAAAACTGTGATTTCTTTTTAAATACATCTTTTCTTTCAAATCTTAAGAAAAGGGGAATAAATACATAAGATGAGATGACCTCCTTGCCCCAGATTATGAATGGGGCCAAGGTCACGGAGAGCCCCTTACTTTACACTGAAAACTAAGGAAGGAGTTTTAGGTGGTCAGATATGGACGGATTCAACCTGTCTTGTGTCTTTACATGGCGGAGGGATGAGGAAGAAGGGCTTACGGGGAGGATTAACCAGAATCGATCAGAGGAGGATGAGGGAAATAGGAAGGGTAGTGTTAAGAGTCAGATGGATCTGGTGTGAAAACTGAACTAGACATTTATGAACAAGTAATTCAATCATCGTAGTAATGGCAGTGGTGGTGTAGTATGATGAACACCATCAGTCATCACATATTGTATTCCTCTTGAGTCTTTCCCTTGGGTAGAGGAAGGAGTAGAAGGTAGATGGGTATGTAGCTTCTGAACAATATCCAAGAGGCTTTCGTGGGCTCTAGAATCTGATTATGAAGACCTGATTTCACTCTTCAGAACATCATCCATCAGTTCTCCCACCAGTCTTCCGTTTACACGGTTGGCCTCGTTGAGGTCATCTCTGGGGAGCTCACACCAGAGGCATGGGGGAGGGGAAGAATACTTCCCTGAGGCAGCTGAGGGAGTTTGAAGAGGAAGGGAAAGATTAGGATATTTGCACGATCGCCTACCTGTAGAGAAGAGATCACCTATATCCTTACAGAATTAAGTGAATTGTGAATTGTGAAACTAGGTTGTTTTATGTCTTCCTTTCTCTGGAACACTGGCTACTTTTTGACCCTCTCTCTGTTCTGTGGAGTAAGATGTTAAGTGGATATTTCCCCATAATAAGCATGTTATATTTGGGAAATGCTGCATTTTATTTTTTAAACAATCTCTACAACCCCTGTGGGGCTCGGACATACAACCCTGATATCAAGAGTTGCACGCTCTATGAACTGAGCCCGCCAGGTGCCCCTGGCAAATGCTACATTTTAAAACAAGTCACTTTGTGACTCAGTACAGTCATGTTGGAGCAGGTCCTGTCATTATTTTGCCGTGAAACCTTACTGAGGAACATTTGTGAGCACCTCTCAGCTTGGGAAATGTTGGTATAATTCATTTAGCATTTCCCATGCCTCTAAGGCCCTGGTGAGAACTTTGCCTGATCCCTGATGAGTTGTTCAGAGGTCCCCGAGTGCGGGGCGGGGAGGCGGTCAGTGCCCCTGAATGTGGAGTTAGGCTGTCTGGGTTCAGAGCCTCACTCCATCCCCAACCCTGTGACCGGCCACATGACCCAACCTCTTTTATGAAAGAGGTAATAGGAATGCCTACATTATGGGGTTGTTACGCGGATTAAATTAAAATAATAATGTACAGCCTTTGTAACACGCCTGGCACAGAGTGAGCGCTCAGTGAATATTATTATCATGATGATTATACGTATACTTCTTATAATCTTTTTTTTTTTAAGATTTTATTTATTTATTTGACAGAGGGAGAGGGAACACAAGCAGGGGAAGTGGGAGAGGGAGAAGCAGGCTTCCCACTGAGCAGGGAGCCCGATGCAGGGCTCAATGCGGGGCTTGATGTGGGGCTCGATCCCAGGACCCTAGGATCATGACTTGAGCTGAAGGCAGATGCTTAACGACTGAGCCACCCAGGCGCCCCTCTTACAATCTTATTTTAAAATATCTTCTCCAAAGACCCACAGAAAAACATTAACCATACTGGTCTTCCCTCCACCCTCAAATCGCACACAGGGGAAACTAAACTTACAAGAATTTTTTTTTCTTTACACATCAGAATGACTGAAAATCTAGATTAAATTAATGTAGTTGGTGGTTGAGGAATATAATTAAAATATGTTTCATGGGACATAATGCTTTAGAAAAAAAATGCCTATGAAAGCAGGAAGACCCTATGTGAGGGTGACCAGGTTATTCGTCTAACAGGTCCCTATTGTAGCCTGTTACCTGTTGCTGTGAATAGTTGCTGGTTTCTCTTATATCCATTTGATGTGACTGCTGCTGATGGAGCTTAATGAGCCTCCATTACTGCCGTTCAGACTGTTGTGTTTTTGAATTAGATGAAACAGCGCACTAAGTGGAGAGGCTCTAATGAAGCATATTTGGAAGGGAATATGCATATATTTGGTATTCTTTCCCTCATCATCTCTGCCAATTCTCGTTTTGCAGGTTCCAGAAGGTCAGGAAGCATTTATTAGACCTCTGCTTAGTTACAGAAGTGGGATTCTGTAGCAGAAGTAAGGAGAGGGTCCCACCCCCATATAACAAACACGGAAAACATCAGCCCTTTTGTTCTTTAATTCCTGTCTGCCAAGCTCCCAGAAAGAAGGAGTGCAGGATTTCTCAATCCATGTGACTTGGGATACATTCTGGAGAGGGGATATCTCACACTGTTTCTTCCAGGCCCCACATAAGACCAGGGATCATTATTAATTTCTGCATATGGTCATGTCAGCTGTGAAACTGTTGATGAGATCCCCTTCCTTGCTCTTTCTTTCTTTCTTTCTTTTTCTTTCTCTTTCTTTCTTTCTTCTCTTTCTTTTTTCTTTCTTTCTTTCTTTCTTTCTTTCTTTCTTTCTTTCTTTCTT